AATGATGTGAAGACCTCTCAAAATAGCTTCATTCATATAATGCACACACACAGAGAATGCTTGAAAAAGAAATTTTGGCCTTGAGGGCTGAGTAAGGGTTAGACCATCAGATACTCTGTCTTAGATCATAACTTTCCCTAAGGGTGGAATTCACGCTTGGTGAATGAATGTAGCCTTTGTAACTTGGAAGTTTTGAGTGGGGGTGGGGGGTATGTATTTTGGCTAGCAGCCAGTGTACAAACTAATCAAACAGAGCCCACATATGTAAACCTAACCTCTTGAAGAAGTTCTGATAATAGTCAGTGATTTAAAGGGTGAATTTTTGGCATTTGATTTAATGAAAAAGTCATTCAAAGGATGTTACAATTTAAGGTAAAAGTCTTACATTCTGTGCTCAGTCATCCAGGTAACCTGCTATGGAGGACAGAAAGATGAACACAGGCCTAGTCATTTTAAAGGTTACTAGAAAATTAGTTTTGTTATTGAGCTAGTACAATGTGGTGTAGTGTAGACCCTTGCTACTCAAAGCACACTCCACAGAACAGCATTATTCTATTGCCTGTGGCTTGTTAGAGATGCTAGGCCTCAGGCCCCACCCCAGGATCAGCATTTTATCATATGCCCTGGTCTGCAACTAAACTTCTAGAATTGTTGGCGTAGAACATAAGTTCTGGAGCCAGATTGCTGGGATTTCAATCCCAACTCCACTCCTTACTAGTTGTATGGCACTGGGCAAGCAACAGAATCTCTCAGTGCCTCAGTTTTCTCATCTGTTAAATGGGAATAACAATAGTAATTAAAACATACAGATAAGGTAAGAGTTAACATGTTAATCCACTACAGGGGTCAGGATGGTACCAGGTACATAGTAAGCACTCAGTGAAATATTTCTGCATTCCATGATGTGCTAAAACAAGTCACGTATGAATACTGCAGTTGGACATCAATAGTAATCACGTGATATTTTGCAATCAATACATTGGGTACTTATTTCTCTTTACAGGTATATTTAAAAATAGGAAATAAGAAGTGTTATTATTATGGTGGGTAAAATGATGAGTCATTAAGCAACTCTATAATGATATAAAGCATTAGGGCTGCAAAATATTTTTAAAAAATTAAGAAGTTTGTGAAGAAAAAATATACATACATAGAAAACATGCTAGAAGGACATACATCAGAAATATTAAGAGTATCTGCAAAATTACTGAGGGACTTTTTTGTTTCTTTTATTTATTGCATTTTTGATTTTTTATACTACCTTTATTTGGAGTACTAGCTAGAACTATTATAAAGCTTTTGTTATGATTTAGATTAGGTAACTTTCTACAAGTTAGTACTAACCTACCACCATCCAGGATGACAATTTTAAAAGAGAACAAATAAATTCAGCAACTCAAATATCTATAATTCCTTAACTTTCAACATACGTATGTTGGAATTATATATATTCATGTGATCTGAAATAAATGTCTATTATTCAAAGAATGGGGAAATTTTCAACTTTGTTACTTATTTGGTTTGCAAATTCCTCTATGAAGATAACTTACTAGATGATTACAAATTGAGACCATTTTGCAGTCCAATGTAGTTTTTAATTTTCAAATAGAAATGACCTTTGTAACTACTAAGTTAAAAGGATTACACTAAAAGAGTCTTTGGTGCTAAAATAGAATCTCCAGTGCCTGCCACGTCCTAGATAGAATTTTCTTTTGAGAAAACCACAGCTGCTTATTTTCAGTGGCCTCATTCAAACAAACTTACATTATTACAAGACATGATAAAGAGCACACGGTGTTCAAAGGCGTGAAATGACTTTTCTTTCCTAGCATTAGATGGTTAAGGGCAAATTATCTTTTCTTATGTTTCAAAAATGAGGTCAGTTATGAGTTTAGACATTTCAAAGGAAAAAATGACCTTTTCTCTGTTGGACCATATGGAATCTAGGTGATTCAAAGCCTCTAAAATTATTTCTAAAATTGAACATGTCCAGATGTTCTCTAAGTTTAACCAACATTATACATTTACTGAAAATCCTTTCTGATCATCATTTTTAGGGAAGAAACAAAGAGAAAGTTTCTAAAATTCTCCTTTGGTATTTTTATATCCATTGGTGTCGCATTCTTCTCCCAAACAGCTTTTTGATATGTGCTCTGTGCCGCAAAGATAAGCCTTGACAGGACAGCAACATGCAAGGATCTCTGTCATGTCAATGGTCCTAAGGCCCCCACTCCTCAGAGGAACTTTTCTGAAATCGTTAGAGAAATAGTCTCTCTCAGGTGCCATCAGCAAAAATTCCATAATGAGAATTTTACCTCAATTGCTGTACCCTAGAAGCCGTAATTGTTGATTCTTAAATGTTGTCTTTAAGTGAGTGCTTACTTTTTGGATAGCTTTGTTAATAATAGGTAGGAGTTGATGGTGAAAAAGTATCACTTCTAAATAGTGCTAACTCATACACTTTTACTTGGAAGTGCTTTCTTTGAACTTCTATTTCTTAGAAAATAAAATACATCTAGTTGATTAAAGTGATTCCTGTTTTCTAATTAGAGAAGAATGACATTAGTAGTAATCTATTTGTATCTACACAAATTATCTTTACCTTGAATTATATTTTGTTTGTATGGTAGGAAGCTAAAGCAGGTAGAATAGAATTTCAGAACTTCTGGTAGATTTCTAAGGAGAGCTTCTAATTTCATACGGGTGTCTATCTATATGAGCAAAATGATAAATTCTTTTAATTGTCTAGTCTTACTTAATCTTTTCAAAGGCCACTAGAAAGAAAAACACAGTGTTATCCCTGAAGAAACATGAGAATGAAATATATAACTACTGTCAAACATAAATTCTCGTTCCCCAAATCAAAATATTCTTAAGTGTACTCATTCTTGAATTTAATTATAAAACTGCAGCAATTTAGCATTGTTTAGCATGGCACCCTATAAGCAGCATTGGACATGGAGATTCTTGAATACGGGATTTACTGAGAGAATGCGCTTAGAAGAAAACTGGACAGAAGTGAAGAAAGCAGGGTAAGATAGGTAAAGAAGATACGCCAAGACGTGGTCTCAGTTGGAGACTAGCCTCACTCAGCCTGATCCCATGCGGGGCTTCGGAGTGTGAATTGCACCACAGAAGCTGCCCACCCAGAAGGAACCTGAGCTATTATTTTCCTGATCTTTCATTCTCTGGGCATAGGTTACTCCCTTGCAAGAATAACCTGCCAGACATCTCCAGACAAGGTAGCTCCTAGCAGCCCAAGCCAGTCTGGAGAAGTGAGTGGCTGTGAGCCATCTGCAGCCGACCCCTGCAGCAGCCCCGCCAAGGAGATCTGGGCAGCACCTGCTTGGAGCTGTAAAGACACCTCCTTCTGTGGGCCCTGTACAAACAGCCAGTGCCTACACTAGCCCCTCACATCCAAGCAGGGAGCCCACGTGCTTTTCACTGTTTCTTTTTTCCTTCCTGAAGATGCTAAGCATAGATGTTAGAGGCACAATAACGAGAAGTATATTCATGTTTACATTAGGCATAACTTTCTAGCAGTGTGAAACTTCCCTCTAACTCCACTTACTGCGTAACACAAAAAGCATTATTCACAAAACTTTCCAGGCTAACTTTAAATTTCATCACAGAGGATGATGTGCCTATTATTCTTATGGGATACAACGCTCAAAATGTAAACAAGAGCCTGGAAAAGCTTTACTCTTATGTTAAATATGTTCCTTTAATTTCATTTAATTTTTGCTCATGTTCAGTTAACATCTTAGATCAAAAAGTTCTAAAATTTTATACAAACAACAGGAAAATAATCACAGGTGTGCTAAAAAATGTATTTACATGATATTCACTGAAGATCTGTTTAAAGCAATGGATAGCCAATAATAAGGGATGGAAAAAATAAATTATGGCATAGCTATATGCTGGAAACTATGATGTCATTAAAAGTCATGTGACAGAAAATTTTTTGATGACATGGAAAATATTTGCATTAAGTGAAAATAAACGTTTAAAATATAGATTGTAAATATCTCATTTCATAAAATGTACAATTGTGTATAAAAGGACTGTTGTATATACCCCATATTTACAGTGTTATTTCTGGGTGGCTTGGGTATTTGAATTACAGGTGACATCTTTGGGGTTTTCTTTCTTCATTTTTATTTTTAAAATTTGCTATGATAAGTCTGTCTAGGTTTCTTTTGGAATAAGAAAATATTATTTAGTAAATAATATCAACTTTAATGGACTTGCTATTAGTTGTAGTTATCCAAACAATTTTCAAGATTTTTTTCAATACTGATAGTTGTGCCTTTTTTCTTATCTTTTCCCCTGAATTTGTCACTCTGAATATTCAAGTGGAAGATGAAAAGAGATCATTTCTATCACCATTTTAAATATTGGTGTCATCTCTAATAATCATTAAATTATATTTTACTTTTTTTAGAAACAAAGGATTGCCTATCTACATAGAGGCTTTGTATTTTTAAACTTCACTTCTAATATTTCTAGACCTTTCCTTAATTATTCTTTCATTGTGATGCCTAATTTAGAATAATGTACCAATTATTTTGGGAATATATTTTATAATACATAAATATAAAATGTATTAATAAGAGTAAGTACTTTATGGCCCTCACTAGACACTGGATATTGTGTGGAATACTTTATGTGTTAGAAGAAATCACAAAAGCACTTTGAAAATCCTGCACTTTAAAAACAAAGGAAAATACTAAATAACTTGTATTTAGTCATTTAATGAGACACAGGATGGGCTCTGTTTAATGCTGTCACAAAATAAGATGCTGGTGGTGGCCAGAGAATGCCAGAAAAGAATGAAATATAAAATTCAGTCAATCATCTAGATGTTTGTGAGATGATGCTGAACTCCATCAAAGTGTTTTCCCACTTCTCCGGAGACAAATGATGTTACATAGACAAAGCCAGTGACAAATTGTGGAAATCACATTTAATGCCATGCATACGACTGAACATCCTCTCACCTCTTTCTTTATTTCTTCTTCATCTTCCAGAGTGAGCGCAGCCAGCTGCTTAGCTCTCTGCTCCATCAGATTCACATATCGGATTGGGTTTGACAAAGCTTCAATCACATCTAAATAGCAGAGAGGCATTTTAGATCAGTGGTCCTGAAGACACTGACAGCCACCAGCCATCCACCCATCCATACATTCATTCATCATCCATACAATCACCCATTCCTCCCACCACTCCTCATCCATATTCCATTCTTCCATATACCATGTAACTACCCACTCATCCATCCAACATTCTGGAAATGAACAAGAGTGAGGACCGTCTGCTGAAACCTCAGGAAGACTACTCAGAGAGGTCAGCACTGAAGCCAAACTGGGCAGGCTCCCAACCGGGATACCTCAATACTCTAGCTTTCTAGGTTTCTCTCTGAGAGTTCCATTCAGTCCAGCATTGGCCCACATACTTGTCCTATTTGGCCCAAATGGTGTTTTGTAAATGGAGACAGTTCAAAAAGCCTGAAACAACCCAAAATTGCGGCAATCTGGGTCTCACTCACTCACAATGCTATTTAGCGGCAGTGATTTGTGGCTGCCAACTTTGGAGGGGGTATGTGCTCCACGTTTGCACCATCTCTGTCCCTCTCAGCATCTTATGCCAGGTCACTCGGCACTCTCAGCACTTAAACTGATGACTCCTGATTGACATCACTGTAAGTCAATTCTTCTAAACTTAGGGTTCTATCCATGAAAAAAGATCAGGGTTCTAAAACTGGCTGAAGGCCAACTCCCTGTGTAGACTCAGACAGACTGCTATACTATGAGGCAGCAAAGGTTACGGAATGCTGGACCCATGGGAGTGCATACCACTGATAAATACAGTCATTGGGACTTAATTCGAATTAAATTTTATTCACAAAGTCCAGAGCAATTTACCTCTACACTTACATACAAAAATAGAAAGGGATTCTGAGGCTGGTATCTTCTGCCTTTGTTTGGTCCAATTTACCTCCCCCTAAGCCACAAGAATATGGGTGACCCCAGATGGAAATGTCTGAATTAGGTTGTTTACCTGCATATGTATCTGGGACATAGTCTTTCACCTCTATGTAGACAAAGACAGCTGGCAGCATCAGAGGCTGGTTCCTCTCATTCCTCAGACAGATGTAGTGATAGCCTGGAGGGTGGCAATAATACTAGGTAACACACATTTTCTTCATAATGTTAGTTATAACACGGGAACACCTATGTGACAGAAGTGTTTATTTTAGGTGCCTTTGGATGACAAACGGGCCATGTCTATCTCATTTTCACTGCATGGTTTTGAGTGATAAGGTATTATTTTCTCCGTCAGGTAGGAAAACAGTGTTGATTCTGACTTTTTTTTGCCTTTCCATCTGTGTTTCTCTCCAAAGAAGAGAATTCAAACCTATATGTCACAGATTGAGTTACTGGTCCAAATTTGCCCCGCCCATGAATTCTTGATGTTAGTGATAATGGTGCAAGTAGAGGCTTCAAATACACCTGGAGTGTCAGGCTAGCCCTTATGCATCTGGGGGGCTGTAATGAGGAGTACGCACTGTGGGGGCCACTCCTCCTTCAGCCAGGGCCCTGAACACACAGACCTAACCCCAGCCCACAGGCTAAAGCACAGTCCCACGGCTGCACCCAGCAAACTCTGCCAACCCACACACTGTGAGCATGAGATAAAGCATTTGTCATAAGCCACTTGAGTTTTCAGATAGTTTCTTCCACATAATTATCCTGGTAAGGATTCATATACCATAGTGTGTCACAAAAACATGAAACTGTCAGATTAAAATAAATAACTGTATAATCCTTGTTGTATAACAGAACAACAAATCAGCAAATAGCTTCCAAAACTATTCACGTAGGGCAGTGATGGTTTCCCTTTACACTCCTAGTAAGTGCTTCTCACCACACCATCCTCACCTGGCCGAACTGCTTGTACGGGCAAGATCCGATGACCAATGAATTTACCTCCTTCTTCATAAACGGCTATCCTCAAACAGGCCAGAGAAGGAAGAACCACCTATAGGGATATTAAGGATAGTCATGGTTATAAGAAGGAGAATTCCTAGGGAAAATTATAAAGGTAGTATTCTAACAGGCCCTGCTTTTCTAAATCCAAGTAGAACTTTTGACTTAGCTAATTAATAAAAAGTTGCAAGGTGTGCTTTATAGTATTTTCAAAAGATTTTCAAAACATTAGACATTGATGTTTTATTACCTTGCCCTAATGAGGAATTTGTTCAACATTTACTTCTGACATGAACATTCTCAATGTGGAAATGACAAAAGTTCTGCATTTAAGTACAAATAATTAGTGGTCTTCTCACTATGTGAGCATTTTCTGTTACATTTTCAAGGCAAATTACTTTTATACTTTCAAAGCAAAAGCACAAATTTCCAAACAAAAGCTTTCAGGAGAGTCTTCAAAATGAGATTATTTCATGAATTTGTAAATTCCCATTTTAGCAACAAACAACTGCTCATTTTCTCTTCCCTCAATATAAAATCCGTAGAGTACATGGCTATGTCCCATGACAAGAACATGAGACCAAGTAAGTCCTTAAAAATTTATTTTTGGTAACAAGGGAAAATTGTCATTTATTGACTATGTTCAACATGCCAGAAAACATTTTATAAATGTGTTCAGTGTATCAGGGAATATTATAACAACTCCATGAAGTAGTCACTATTATTAAATAAAATTAATATGTGAAAAGAAAGCTGGAGCACAGAGACCTTTGGCATAGATATTCTCTTTGCAAAAGATTGTCTTTGTAAAGATGTTGGCTAGATAGAAGGAAAGGTAAGAAAATCTGCTCTAGCTCCCACCGCTCCCCTTTCTGTCTTCCTTTATGTGACAACTATGTGTGAAGATTTGCTTTTTGGTGAAGGCAGAGAGAAGGTCCAGTCGAATGTGAAAGGTTTTAACTTTATCAGACAGAATCCAGATGAGATAGAATGACCAGCTGCCCACTATGGACAGTGACTGTAACGGAGTATGTGGTGGGGACTTGATAATGGGGGCAGTCTAGTAACCATAATGTTGTTCATGTAATTGTATATTAATGATACCAAAATAAAAAAAAAGAATGACCAGCTGCCAGTGGCTAGAGATCCTAGGGAGTCTAAAGAAGAATGGACTTCCTTTTTCTTAGCTACCACAGCATCCCAAACCTCCCAGTCAACTTCACTGGAGTTACAATGAAAATATATCATTCATCACTTGTTTCATGAGAAGATATGAGTTCAATTCTTATGTCATTTTAATCTTCCAAATGAGGAATACTAGGGTTAATTGATTGACAATTCTGAAAGCCCTAATAAGTGATTCACAGAGATCTCAAATAGTTTTCAAGAGAGCTTTGAAAATGCTATTGCTTTATACCTGTGAAAATTCCCCAACTAAGCAACAAATAATTCCTCATTTCACTTTTTTTCAGAGTAAAACAGAATGTGCAGCTACACCTTGTGTCAAAGACATGAGACCAACCTTTTTGAACACAATGGGCTCCTCTTCCCAGACGGGATTGACAGCATTTCCTTGGGATGTTTTAGTTTTAAAGGCCTTCCTCCTTGTGTCCACGGGCAAACCGAACATATCCACTTCCACGTAAGTCCCAACTTTCTTGTCAGAAAGAAACTGACCAGAAATAATCTAGGAAACAATAAAAAAGGAACTTTTGTTATAAATGGACAATGATATAAGAGATAAGAGAATAGTTAGGTATAAATGTTTGAGGGTGAATGTTAAATCATAATCAAAATGAAACAGAAGCACAAATATGATTTACCTTTAGGTTCAAGAATTAGTAGAGGACATTGTAAATGCTAAGGTTAAAAAGAGCCAATTAATAGGATAAAGTTGTATAGGAATAAATAAATAAATAATAAAAGTTTGATGAGATTATACCTTTTGTAGTTGAGATACAGTTATTAAACATTAAAGATTGCTCTTCAGAGCCAACTGAATGAAAAGGGTTTTATGATACTTAAAAATATTACAAGAGAAAAATTCTCATTTTGACATAACTATAAATGAAATCAAAAGGTCACTTAAGAATTCCAACCAAACATGTAACATAGTAGAAACCTTAGCATTTAAAAAATTTCCTCCTATTCAAAGCATGCAATCAGAAGGAGGGGTTGTAACACTTGCTATTACAATTCTCAAAGTTGTTACACTTTATAGAAAATGCCACAATGATGATAAAAGGCAAAACTAAAAACAAATGTTGATTTTAAAGCATCAAGTCCAGTTTCCCACTCTTAACCACACCCAGTTACCCATCCACACAGTTAGGGGTATCCTTGGCCTCACTATATAAAATTAATAGATATATGGGGATAAAAGATTTCAAAATCACACATTCATAAAATATTTCCCATGTTTACCTCTTTTTCTGGCCCAGTTCTCAAAATCTGAGGGATCCTCAAGTGTGATAAAGGTAAATGGAGGCAAATGAGATGTCCTTCTGCTTTAACACCAACTAGGGGAGCAGTGCAGAGCATGTGCCTATGGAGCAAACCTGATAAAGATGGATTGTCTGGTTGACAAAGCTCCTTGCTGGCCAAAGGCTCTCTGAACTCAGAAAGGGAAAGGGGAAAAGCCCATGAAAGGGGACAGAATTACCAAGGTTATGGCTGGGCCAGAAATTGGATTTAGTGGTGGCCTGAGAATGGCCAGCAGCGGCTGACTAAGAAAGGCCAAAGTCAGCTGCATGCTGATGTGGTCAGACATTCCAAACAAGCTAGAGAGAAAGCCACCAAGGAGAGCTGCCTGAATTTGCCTGGGGACAACTCATTTCTCCTACATGTTCTCTTTAGCCTGAGTGGATGGGACCTGCTAGCAACAATCGGTTTAATTTGAAGTTCTACATGAGAACAGCTTAGCAGACAATGTTTAGAACATGTTTGAAACCTCCAAGTTACATGAATCACCCTGGGAATTCAGATGCACAGAAGATTTTGTGTGCTTAAGATGTTTGATTAAAGCAGAAATCCTTAACAAAAATAACCCTAACCCTCAATGTTCTTATCAGCAAAATAGGACGGCAGAACACCATCGAGCTCACAAGTCCATTCTGGCACTACAAATTCTATGTCAGAGGATCAGAACAAAGGCACTCCAGGGATAAACTGCGTTTTGCTCTAGCTGTGATGTTAAAAGCAGGATGCTACTGAAGCATGGCACAGCCATGCAGGGAATACTGGCAACCCCAGAACAGTGTCTCCACAGTTTGCATTTGTCTGAGACTCTTTCTCCTCAACTTACTTTCCTGTCTCTATGTCATAGTTTTATAATTGTTTGTACTGTCATGGTGGAATTTTCAAGAAAAAAATAAATAAGTGAGCAAACATGTGCAAACAAGAGCAGTTGGCAAACAAGGACAAAATATTATTAGTTCGACCCAATGATTACAACAATTGAGAAGGATTCTAAAAATAATATTTTATTAGTGTGTGATGCTTAAGAGTTTACCTTAATCACACTTGACAGGAATTAAACATTCTTGGCTGAAAACAATTTCCTAAAATAAATATGATCTTGAAGCTCTAATTCTGCCAACTCCATTCTTCAGATAGATGGTGTAAAATAATTTCAAAAGATATAATTGTGAGACAAGTTATTGAAATTTTATTTTTAATCTTTGATATAAAGTGACATAAATTTTAAAGTAAAAATAGGCTCAGTCAACTTAGGGTAGATAAAAATTAGTGAAACTGTGACAGAAAATTCCTTACATAGATTTTCATATGCCTTTGATTTAGGATCAATTGGAAAATTGCATTTATATCTAACAAAAAACATTTCTTAGCTCTACAGTTAATCAGTTAAACAGAGAAGAAATGAAACTTTAAAAAAGTAAATGAAACTCAGTACAACAAACCAAAGGTTTATAGAATTCATATAAAAAGCTGTATATAAAAGTGATTTCCCATTCATGGTAGTCAAAATATTTTCTCATAGCTAAAAATTTTTACCTGCTGTAATCAATTTCAAAGACTGTAGAAATCTTTTTTAGAATTAATATTTAGGGTCAGATATAATTTTAAAGCAACTCTTTTATTTAATATAATTATATATTTTGTTATGTTTTAAATCCCTGGATACTCTGATAGATTTTCAAAAGCCTTGCTCTAGTAACTTGAGAGATTTTATTCAATATTTAACAATTTACTGAGAGAATACTTTTTCTTCTAATTTTGCTCAGTTTGGGTATTTTCCTAGGACTAATGGGGGAAGAAAAAAGGCCAGAAGATTTTTCTAACATGGGTCACTAATTTCCCTGGTAAATTTCATGGTGGCAATATTACCCTAAAAGAAAGGACTAGCCGTGGTGAGTATCACCAACTTGTTTTATTGATTTAGGGTCTGATTTTTATCCTTTTAAAGAGAAGGGCTTAATCCCATTATCCTATGCATGTGGCTTCTGACTTCAAATTTGGATTCAGTCCTTAAAGAAAAAAATGTTTGAAGGAAGTGGAGACTTAGATAGCAACTACATTTTCAATGAATAAACTACTTCTTTATGCAAAATAGGTTATGGTCCCTCTTGTTGGGGACAATTCTGTAACAGAGGTGTACATACCTTGACAGATAAAGTGTTGGCCACTATCCCATCTACGATGCCTTCAGTGAATGGATCAAAATGCTTGTCAGGTCTTCTCATGAACTCTGGCTTTAATCGGTAGCCACTCTTCCCATTGTATTCATACATTCCCATGTTAATCTGCATAGCCAGGTCTGTATATCAAACACACAAACCTTATTGTGATTATATTTATACTTGAATCAAGAAAGCAAGATCACATTCTAGTCCACTTTAGTTCCCCTTTACAAAGAAATATTTATTCATTGTAGAAATTTAGGGAACATAAGAAAAAATATTGAGCTGTATCTCCAAATCCAGAGATAAACTACTGCCCACAGGTTGCTGTTTATTGTTTTTCCACTTTAAATGTATTTTGAAAATGCAGAATGTCCATTTCATTAATTGTCTGCTTTAATTTTAGCAGCTGTATAAAATTCTTTTGAATGGATACATTTGAATAAATATAACACTAGGCTCCTTTTTGGGCACATTTATGTGTTTTCTAATTTTTCACCACATAATGTTTTGATGAATGTCATTGTGGTGACATCCTTGAAGCCATCATTAAAAATACTCTTAACAGTGGAATTTTTGGGTCAAAAATGTGCATGTTGGAAAAGCTTTTTGATAAGTCTTGCTAAAATGCCCTTTAGAAAGCTTAAGCCTACTTTAAACCTCTAATACATGCATTTGAGGATATTTTTCACATACATCACTCATAAAGGATGCTATAATTCTTCCCTTTCTAAATTTATAGGAAAAAAAATTTCCTTTTTAAAATTTGCATCTCTTTGATTACCTACGACCAGTATCCAATTACACACTGACTTGTGTCTAATAGACAGAGATTACTGGTCAAAGTTTTTCTAAGACTGGGTGTGTGAAATGAAGATTCAGACTAATTGCAATGATAGGGTTAAAAATAAAAACATTTCAAAGCCGTATGGAATCTGGGAAGCTCTCATTTTTTCCAGATTATGTCATGACTCATCTCTATTTAGATGGACAATAAAGAGGTGATGGTAGAATTATTTCAAACTTCCATGTAACAGATCACTTTTAGAGCAGGGAAAACAAGTGAAACTTCATCTCTAGTGTTATTAAGATATTATAAGTGTGATACCAAAATTGGACAAGAAAAGAAAATGGTGGACTTAATCACACTTGTCAAATATTAACTCTACGAAATTGCATTAGCAAATCATATGTTCTAAAAAATAATACAAAGCAAGCAAGTAGAATGTATTCCAGGAACAAAAGGATAATTACCTTTTAGCAGATATATTAATATAATTTATCACTTTTACTCACAAAAGAAGACATGAACACAAGATCATCCCAATAGATGTCCAAGAAATATTTAATAACATTCAACAAAGATTCCTAAAACATTATTAGTCAGTTAGGGCACATGTATACTCCTTTCACATGTGAAACAATACCTGTCTCAAAGTCCCAGCCCATATCTACTCAGTAATATCACAATGGTGAAATCCCACTAGTATTAGGAGAAAAACAAAAGGTGCTGACTCTTAGTACTATTATTTAATATTTTTCTAGAATAGTCCAAAGCACTGAGAAAAAAATTAGATATGATTATTGTAACTGTGTATCTGAAAAACCCAACAGAATCTACTAGCAACATAGTTTATTATAAGAGCTTAGGAAGATGATAATTTATCAAATACATTTATTAATAAAATAAATAGACAATATCACTATACAGAAATAATTTACAGAAAAAAATAATTTGTTATAAAAAGACTTCATCCAAAGAAAGTAGGCCTCTAAAGAGTGATTTTGTGGATATGAGAACTTTTAAAGTGAAGAGTAGAACATTCTTTCTGTGCTAAGAAAACTAAACATTAAATGATGTCAGTTTACTTCAGATCAATTTATAAATTCAGGGTGATTTTAGTCAACATTTCCTTTTTTTTTTCCCACTGAGGGAGAGGGAAACACAAACTAAATTCATTTGGAACAGGAATTGCACTGCAATGGCAAGAAGAGAACTGAAATTAATAGTGATGAAGGTGAATTTACACTTGCAGTTATTAAACCACATTAATAAACATTATAATAATAATAGTTATCAGCTGCAGGAAGGCAAGTTTATTAACAGAGAAGAATATAAATTGAGCAAATGAACCCAGATTAAAAACAACAAAAAGTCTACATCTACTAAAACGTAGTTCCAGATTAGTGTAAAAAGGATAGATTTCTTACTGAGATTATCTATCAAAATTAAATCTGGATGGATAAAATGGTTAAATTACAAATAAAAAAGAATCCACGATAGAAATAGGAATAAGAATAAATATGGGTGAGATCTTGGGATGGGGAGTCTATAAGCATAAAAGTAAACCAAGACTCTGTAAAATAAAACATTAATCAACACAATCTTATCTGTTTCACAAAATAAGAAAACATGCTCTTTATATAATAAGTGCTATACAGATGACATAGTATTGTACATAAAAAACCCTAAAGAATCCACTCCAAGACTATTAGATCTAATATCTGAATTCAGCAAAGTTTCAGGATACAAAATTAATACACAGAAATCTGTTGCTTTCCTATACACTAAAGATGAACTAGCAAAGGGAGAAATCAAAAAAACAATTCCATTCACAATTGCATCAAAAAGAATAAAATACTTAGGAATAAACCTAACCAAGGAAGTGAAAGACCTATACTTTGGAAACTCCAAGGTACTCATGAGAGAAATTAAAGAAGATACCAATAAATGGAAACATCCCATGCTCATGGATAGGAAGAATTAATATTGCTAAAATGGCCATCCTGCCTAAAGCAATCTACAGATTCAATGCAATTCCTATCAAAATACCAACAGCATTCTTCAATGAACTAGAGCAAATCATTCTACAATTCATGTGAAACCACAAAAGGCTCCGAATAGCTAAAGCAATCCTGAGAAGGAAGAGTAAATCTGGGGGGATTACACTCCCCAAATTCAAGGTCTACTACAAAGACACAGTAATCAAGACAATTTGGTACTGGCATGAGAACAAAACAATAGACCAACGGAACCGACTAGAGAGCCCAGACATAAACCCAACCATATATGGTCAATTAATATATGGAAAAGGAGCTATGGACATAAATGGGGAAATGACAGCCTCTTCAATAACTGGTGTTGGAAAAACTGGACAGCTACATGCAAGAGAATGAAACTGGATTATTGTTTAACCCCATACACAAAAGCAAACTCAAAATGGATCAAAGAACTAAATGTAAGTCATGAAACCATAAAACTCTTAGAGGACAACATAGGCAAAAATCTCCTGAATATAAACATAAGCAACTTTTTCCTGAATGCATCTCCTTGAGCAAGGGAAACAAAAGCAAAAATGAACACATGGGACCACATCAAACTAAAAAGCTTCTGTAAGGCAAAGGACACCATCAACAGAACAAAAAGGCATCTTACAGTAAGGGAAAATATATTGTGAATGACATATCTAACAAAGGGTTAACATCCAAAATATATAAAGAACTCACAAGACACCCAAAAAGAAAATAACCTGATTAAAAAATGGATGGAGGATATCAAGAGACAAGTAATTCTCCAAAGAAGAAATTCAGATGGCCAACAGACACATGAAAAGATGCTCCACATCACTAATCATTAGGGAAATGCAAATTAAAACCACACTGAGATACCACCTCACACCAGAAGGATGGCCAGCCTCGAAAAGACTGAGAACAACAAATGCTGGCAAGGATGTGGAGAAAGGGGAAACCTCCTACACTGCTGGTGGGAATGTAAGCTAGTTCAACCATTGTGGAAAGCAATATGGAGGTTTCTCAAAAAATTAAAAATAGAAATACCATTTGACCTGGGAATCCCACCCCTTGGAATTTACCCAAAGAATACAAGTTCTCAGATTCAAAAAGACATATGCACCCCTATGTTTATCTGCAGCACTATTTACAATAGCCAAGATATGGAAGCAACCTAAGTGTCCATTAGTAGATTAATGGATCAAGAAGAGGTGGTACATATACACAATGGAATACTATTCGGCCATAAGAAACAGATTGTACCATTTGCAACAACATGGATGGATCTGGAGGATATTATACTCAGTGAAATAAGCCAGTCAGGGAAAGACAAGTGCCAATGATTTCTCTCATTTGTGGAGTATAACAAAAAAGCAAAACTGAAGGAACAAAACAGCAGCAGACTCACAGACTCCAAGAAAGGACTAGCTGTTACCAAAGGGGAGGGGTGTGAGAGGGCGGGTGGGGAGGGAGGGAGAAGGGGATTGAGGGGTATTATGCTTAGTACACATGGTGTGAGGGGTCATGGAGAAAACAGTGTAGCACAGAGAAGGCAAATAGTGAATCTGTGGCATCTTACTACACTGATGGACAGTGACTGCAATGGGGTATGGGTGGGGACTTGATAATATGGGTACATGTAGTAACCACATTGTTTTTTTCATGTGAAACCTTCATAAGAGTGTATATCAATAATACCTTAATTAAAAATTATTTTTTAAAGTGCTATTAAAAATGAAAAGGGAGAACCAAGATGGTGGCATGAGTAGAACAGCAGAAATCTCCTCCCAAAACCATATACCTTATTGAAAATACAACAAATACAACTATTCCTAAAAGAGATACCAGAAGACACAGGACAACAGCCAGACTACATGACTACATCTACATCTGTGTGAACCCAGCGCATTGCAAAGGGGGTAAGATACAAGCCGTGGCCCAGCAGGACCCGAGTGCCTCTCACCCCAGCTCCCAGCAGGAGGAGAGGAGTCAGAGCGGGGAGGGAGAGGGAGCCCAGGACTGCTAAACACCCAGCCCCAGTTATCCGCACTGAGAATGCAGACATTCAGTGTGTGAGGTGCTGGGTACTAGGGAAGACCTGTGAGCGGGTCCCCACAGCCAGCACCCCAGGGACAAAGAAAAGCAAGTACTTTTTGAAAGTCTTAAAGGGAGAGGGACCCCACAGCTGGAAGGACGCGTCCCGGGACACTAAGCCCAGCAGCTGTGAATCCCAGGGAACTCTGGGTGCCCTAACTTCCTGGGTGGCAGTGCAGTTTGGAGGCCCCTCACAGCAATAAACAGCCTCCCACCTGTTCCCCCTCTGACACGGCTCTGCCATATTGGAGAAGCAGCCTGAGGCTAGCCACACCCACAGCAACTGCGGAGCTCCAAAGAATTAGAAACCCTGCCTGCACACAGCTCCCCAGCACAAGCCGCCAGGGTTCGCTGTTCTGCCAGGAGAGGAAGGCCACAAACCAGCAAGAAGGGACTTTCTCTTAGCCAACACATGCGCCAGCTCCCCACAAATACCTCTATTGCCATGAAAAGGCAGAGAATTTGATACAGACTAAGATCACAGAGGCAAACCCTGAGAAGGAGATAGACCTAACCAATCTCCCTGAGAAAGAATTAAAAATAAAGCTCATAACCATGCTGATGGAGCTGCAGAGAAATATGCAAGAGCTAAGAGCTAAGAGCTTCTGGAAGGAGATTACAGAAATGAAACAATCTCTGGAAGGATTTATAAACAGAATGGATAAGATGCAAGAGGCCATTGATGGAATAGAAACCAGAGAACAGGAATGCAGAGAAGCTGACACAGAAAGAGATAAAGGATCTCCAGGAATGAAACAGTATTAAGAGAATGTGTGACTAATCCAAAAGAACAATATTTGCATTATAGGGGTACCAGAAGAAGAAGAGAGAAAAAGGGATAGAAAGTGTATTTGAAGAAATAATTGCTGAAAACTTCCCCAAACTGGGGAGGGAAATAATTGATCAGACCACAGAAGTACACAGAACCCCCAACAGAAGGGACCCAAGAAGGGCAACACCAAGACACATAGTAATTAAAATGACAAAGATCAAGGACAAGGACAGAGTTTTAAAGGCAGCTACAGAGAGGAAAAAGGTCACCTACAAAGGA